CTTCAATTTTCAATGACAGCCAAGCTGGATATAGTATTCTTGGCTGCATATTTTTCTCATTTAGTGCTGTGAATATATCCTGCCAGTCCTTTCTGGCCTGCCAGGTCTCTGTGGATAGGTCTGTTGCCAATCTAATGTTTCTACCATTGTAGGCTACAGAGCTCTTATCCCGAGCTGCTTTCAGGATTTTCTCTTTGTCTCTGAGACTCGTAAGTTTTACTATTATATGTCGGGGTGTTGACCTATTTTTATTGATTTTGAGAGGGGTTCTCTGTGCTTCCTGGATTTTGATGCCTGTTTCCTTCCCCAAATTAGGGAAGTTCTCTGCTATAATTTGCTCCATTATACCTTCTGCCCCTCTCTCTCTTTCTTCTACTTCTGGGATCCCAATTATTCTAATGTTGTTTCATCTTATGGTATCGCTTATCTCTCGAATTCTGCCCTCGTGATCCAGTAGTTGTTTATCTCTCTTTTTCTCAGCTTCTTTATTTTCCATCATTTGGTCTTCTATATCACTGATTCTCTCTTCTGCCTCATTTATCCTACCAGTTAGTGCCCCCATATTTGATTGCACCTCATTAATAGCCTTTTTGATTTCAACTTGATTAGATTTTAGTTCTTTTACTTCTCCAGAAAGGGTTTCTCTAATAACTTCCATGCTTTTCTCAAGCCCAGCTAGTATCTTTAAAGTGATGATTCTGAACTCTAGATCTGATATCGTACTAATGTCCGTATTGAGTAGGTCCCTGGCAGTCGGTACTACCTCTTGTTCTTTTTGTTGAGGTGATTTTTTCCATCTTGTCATTTTGTGCAGGGGAGAATAGATTAATGAGAGAACAAAATGCTAGCAGAGTAACAACATCCCCAGAAAATATACTCTAAACAAATCAGAAAAGACCTGAAGCAGTGGGAAAAGAAAGGGAAAGAGAGAAAAAAGAAAAAGAAAAAGAAAAAGATAAAGATAAAACAGAAACAGAACAAAACAAAACAACAACAACAAAAAAACCAGAATGTGATCAAATATGATCAGGCTGGTATATAGATCAGTTCCACACCCTAGATTTTGGGTGTATTTTGGTCTGTTAGAAGAAAGTGCCTCCCAAAATTTTAAAGAAAGAAAAACTTATATATGTACAAAAATAAGGGTTGATATGTTGAAGGGATGGAATATGACTGTAAATATGGAAATTATAAAAAATTTTATAAAAGGAATTGATAAGAAGTTGTTTGAAAAAAGAAAGAGGATTTAAAAAAAGAAAAAAGAAAAAAAAGGGAGAGAATGTGATCAGGCAGGGGAGTAGAAAAAAAGCATATACTAGAGATTTAGGGTATATTTTGATCTGTTAGAAGAAACTATCTCAAAATTTTAAAGAGAGAACAACTTATATATATATGCCTTAAATACGGGTAAGTACTATGAAGGGATAGAATATGCTTCTAAAAATGAAAAATAAAAATGTTTTTTAAAAAAGGGATTGATAAGATGTTGGTTGAAAAAGGGAAAAAGAGGGGCGCCTGGGTGGCTCAGGCGTTAAGCGTCTGCCTTCTGCTCAGATCCCACAGTCCTGGGATCAAGCCCCACATTGGGCTCCCTGCTCCGCAGGAAGCCTGCTTCTCCCTGCTTCTCCCTCTCCCACTCCCCCTGCTTGTGTTCCCTCTCTCGCTGTCTCTCTCTCTGTCAAATAAATAAATAAAATCTAAAAAAAAAAGGGAAAAAGAAAAAAAATTCAAAAAAAAAGAAAAAAGACAGTTAAAAAAAATTAACTTTGAAAGACTAAAGAATCATGGTAAAAAAAACCATGGATTCTATGTGCAGTATTCCCCTAGCGCTGGAGTTCTGCCCTTCTCATTGATCGGTAAACTTGGTCTTGGTTGGCTGTTCTCGCTGATCTTCTGGGGGAGGGGCCTGTTGCCGTGGTTCCCAAATGTCTTTGCTGGAGGCGGAATTGCCCCGCCCTTGCCCAGTCCGGGCTAAGTAATCTGCTCGGGTTTGCTCTCCAGAGCTTTTGTTCCCTGCGAGCTTTCCGTACAGCTTTGGAGGTGGAGAGTGAAAATGGCCACCTCCCAATCTCTGCCCCAGAGAAGCTGAGAACTCGGGTCCCCACTCCTCAGTGAGCCCCCAGAGAAAAGCCGCCAGTCACTCCCGTCTCCCCGGTCTCCGGCCGCACTCCGTGCTCACCCGGCCTGTGACCGCGCCTTTCTCTCTGGCACCCGACTCTGGGTGGAGTCTCCAAACCCAGCAGATCCCTGCGGTGTGCTCCCCTGCCTCTCCTCCTGGGGGAAGAAGGTGAGTTTCCCCGGATCTGCTGCTTGTTGGGTCCCTGCTGGAAGAGCAGGGGCCCGACTGTGCCGCGGATCCCGGTTTATGGCAACCCTGAGCTGGACTTCTCCGCACATCTTACCTTCCAGAAAGTGGTTGCTTTTTTGTTTATAGAATTGCTGCTCTTCTTTTCTTTGATCTCTTGTTGAATTTGTAGGTGTTCTGAATGGTTTGATAACTATCTAGCTGAATTCCTGGGACCAGACGAAATTTAAGTCTCCTACTCCTCCACCATCTTGCTCCAACCCTTTTTTCAAGTTTTTCTCATTGTCTTTGACATTCTGCAGTTTGACAACGATTTGGCTAGATTTGCATCTCTTTGTCTTTATCCTATTTTGATTTGATCGAGCTTTGTAGATGTGCAAATTAATGTTTAGCATAAAATTTGGGGAGTTTTTGGTAATTACTTCTTTAAATATTCTTTCTTCCCTATTCTTTCTTTTCCCTTTCTTGAACTTCCATTATGTATGTTTTGGTATACTTGATGATGTTCCACAAGTTCCTGAGGCTCTGTTTATTGTTCTTTTTTTAAAGAAGATTTATTTATTTTTTTGAGAAAGAGAGAGAGAGTGCAAGTGCAAGTGTGGAGGGACATAGGGAGAGGGAGAGGGAGAGAAGCAGACTTCCTGCTGAGCCTGGAGCCTGATGTAGGGCTCAATCTCACAACCCTGAGATCATGACCTGAGCCGAAATCAAGAGTTGGATGCTTAACTGACTGAGCCACCCAGGCACCCCTGTTTATTATTCTTAATTTTTTTCTTTTCCTGATGGCTCACAATTGAACTGTCTTCAAATTTGCTGATTCTTTCTTCTGCCAGCTAAAATCTGGGATTGAGCCTTCCAGTGAATTTTTTGTTTAATTTATTGTACTTTTCACCGCCAGCATTTATATTTATTTGAACCTTTTAAAATTATTTTTTGTCTCTCTATTATTATTCACTATTTTGGTGAGACATAGTTGTCATGCTTTCTTTGAAGTTTTCAACCATATGTTCTCTGAACGTATTAATAATAAATGATTCGAAGTCTTTGTCTAATTCATTGAAACTATACATTGTATAAAAAAATAAAGTCTTTGTGTATTAAGTTCAACATCTGGTCCCCCTCAGGGAGATTTTCTGTTGTTTTCCCCCCTGTGTATATGGTATATGTTTTGTTTCTTTACCTTTCATATAATTTTTTGTTGAACACTGGATGCTATTTTTTAAAAAGATTTATTTATTTATTTGAAAGAGAGAGAAAGGGCACAGTGGGGGTAGGGGCAGAGGGAGAGAGAACCCTCAACCAGACTCCCACTGAGCGCAGGGCGGGAGGCGGGGCTCAATCCCAGGACTCTGAGATCATGACCTGAGCCAAAATCAAGAGTCAGCCAATTAACCAGATTAACCGACTGAGCAATCCAGGTTCCCTGAAGACTCGACACTTTAGAGAACATAGTGTAATAGCTCTGGTGTCAGACCCCTGCTTTCCAGTTTTTAAAAAATGTTTATTTTTATCTTTCTGCTGTTTATTTGTTTAGCGAATTTCCTAAGCTGCAAAGAGAGAGGATATGGGAATAGCCTCAAGTTAAAACACCACAGTTCCTACTGTCTTACTGAGGTTCAGTAATTTCTTTGGATAGATGATTGTTAGTTTGTTCTGAGGGGTTGGCTAATTTCTAGAGTTCTAAAATTATTGATTTTAGCTATGTTTCCAGGAATTTGTTTCTGTGGAAGGATGGGTTCACTGTGCTCCTTACTTAACCATGAAGGATGTTGATCTACCATCAATACATCTTTTAAAAAATTAAAATATAATGGAATAGAACAGTATTTGTGCATTGCCTGTAGTAAAGTTAGGTATTGTTTTATGAAGTTTTTAATTCTAAATGTGTATATTTAATGCTCTGTAATGTAAAATATACTTTTTACTGTGGGTCCTAATTTTTAAAAAGCCAGTATAAAATGTATATTATATAAACCTAAGCATGCATCAGAATCACTTGGAGGGATAGTTAAAATACATGTTTCTGAGCTCCATTTCACTGTTTCTGATTCAGTAGGTTGAGAGGGGGGTGAGAATTTGCATTTGTAAATCAAGGTCCCATATGATACTGATGCTGCTGCTCTGAAAACCACACTTTGAGAACCACTGCGTAACACCAATTTTTTTCAGTCTTGGTTGAAAATTAGAATTACCCACACACCTGGGTGGCTCAGTTGGTTAAGCGTCTGCCTTCAGCTCAGGTCATGATCCTGGAGTCCCAAGATCGAGTCCCGCATTGGGCTCCCTGCTCAGCAGGGAGTCTGCTTCTCCTTCTGACCCTTCCCCCTCTCATGCTCTCTCTCTCATTCTCTCTCTCTCAAATAAATAAATAAAATTTTTTAAAAAGGGGGGCAAAATACTATAAAATATTTAAAAAAAGAAAATTAGAATTACCTATGAAAGTTTTAAAATATGAGGATGTCTAATCCCTACCCCAGACTAATTGAATCTGATCTCTAGAAGTGGGGCACAACATTTCTGATGTACATAAGGAGTTGATCTCTGTACTAGATTGTGACTTTTTTTTTAGGGCAGGACTGAGTCTTTTGTCTTCTGTCCTCAGTTTGACCTTATATAGGTATTTAATATATGTTGAATGAATTGTCATAAAATGGTTCTAGGGTTGGGGCGCCTGGGTGGCTCAGTTGGTTAAGCAACTGCCTTTGGCTCAGGTCATGATCCCGGAGTCCTGGGATCGAGTCCCACATCGGGCTCCCGGCTCAGCAGGGAGCCTGCTTCTCCCTCTGATCCTATCCCCTCTCATGCTGTTTCTCTCTGTCAAATGGATAAATAAAAAATCTTAAAAAAAAAAAATGGTTCTAGGGTTTTCTAACAGTGGAGAACAGATTACCCTTAGATGAGACAAGGTTTTAAAGATAAAAAGGGGCAGACTGGCCTAGTGCTTTTCCCAATGAAGAATGCTGGTTCTACCCCTTCCTGTATCTCACATACAAAGAGGGGCTTCAGGTTTGTGCAGGACTTCTATCTATAAGAAATTATTACCCAGTGCAGGAGGAGTAAAGGAAACTTAAGTTGGTGATATCTTTTCAACACAGGCATGAAGAAGAGCCCATCCTGGATTTTCCTGCCGTGGAACTTCAGAGAAAGGCTGATTTTTTCCATGGCTTGTTTTTATCTACCTCAGCATTTCCTCTTCTTCAGTTTCTTTCTTCTGAAAGGAGTGCTGGTAATGGCAAAGGCTGCAGAGCTCCTAAAACCAGACCCCAGGTAAGTAAATTTTCCCTCTGCCTTTCCTCATATTCAGCCTTGGAACCTGAATTTGCCCTCAACTATTTTCTGTAGCCTGTCTTTCCTACAGAGGCCCCATGGCACAGCTCTGTCTCTCAGGTACCTAGTCTAATCCTGTTACATAGTCACTATTTATGTGTTATTCTCTAGATGCCTTCCTAACAGTGATGTTACTGTTAGTCAAGTGCATTCACTGTTTTTATCTCTAACATATCCTCATGACATAGCTGGGAAGATGAACACTACAAGGTAAGCCTGACAGAGCAGTATGATTTTTTCCCACTATGTAGCCTCTACTTTTTAAAAAATTTTATTTTACTATATTAATCATCATACAATACATGATTAGTTTTTGATGTGGTGATCCATGATTCATTGTTTTCATATAACACCCAGTGCTCCATGCAGTACATAGCCTCCTTAACACCCATCACCAGGCTAACCCATCCCCCCACCCCCATTTGGATGTCTTCTTTGGGAAAGTGTCTGTTCATGACTTCTGCCCATTTTTTGACTTGATTATTTGTTTTTTGGGTGTTGAGTTTGAGAAGTTCTTTATAGATCTTGGATACCAGCCCTTTATCTGTAGTGTCATTTGCAAATACCTTCTCCCATTCTGGGGGTTGCCACTTTGTTTTGTTGACTGTTTCCTTTGCTGTGCAGAAGCTTTTTATCTTGATGAAGTCCCAAAAGTTCATTTTTGCTTTTGTTTCACTAGCGTTTGGAGATGCATCTTGAAAGAAGTTGCTGTGGCTGATGTCAAAGAGGTTACTGCTTACGTTCTCTTCTAGGATTTGGATGGATTCCTGTCTCACATTGAGGTCTTTCATGCATTTTGAGTTTATTTTTGTGTATGGTGTTAGAGAATGGTCGAGTTTCATTCTCCTGCATGTGGCTGTCCAATTTTCCCAGTGCCATTTATTGAAGAGACTGTCTTTTTTCCATTGCATGTTTTTTCCTGCTTTGTCAAACATTATTTGACCATAGAGTTGAGGGTCCACATCTGGGTTCTCTATTCTGTTCCACTGGTCTATATGTCTGTTTTTTGTGCCAGTACCATGCTGTCTTGGTGATCACTGCTTTGTAATATAGCTTGAAATCGGGCAACGTCATGCCCCCGGCTTTGTTTTTCTTTTTCAACATTTCCTTGGCAATTCGGGGTCTTTTCTGACTCCATACAAATTTTAGGATTGTTTTTTCCAGCACTTTGAAAAATGTCATTGGAATTTTGATCGGGATGGCATTGAAGGTATAGATTGCTCTGGGTAGCATAGACATTTTAACAATGTTTATTCTTCCGATCCATGAGCATGGAATGTTTTTCCATCTTTTTGTGTCTTCTTCAATTTCTTTCATGAGTGTTGGGTAGTTCCTAGAGTATAGATCCTTTACATCTTTGGTTAGGTTTATTCCGAGATATCTTACATTTTTTGGTGCTATTGTAATGGAATCATTTCTCTAATTTCTCTTTCTACAGTTGCACTGTTAGTGTATAAGAAAGCAACTGATTTCTGTGCATTGATTTTGTATCCTGCCCCATTGCTGAATTGCTGTATGAGTTCTAGTAATTTGGGGGAGGAGTCTTTTGGGTTTTCCACATAAAGTATTATGTCATCTGTGAAAAGAGAGAGTTTGACTTCTTCTTTGCCAATTTGAATACCTTTTATTTCTTTTTGTTGTCTGATTGCTGTTGCTAGGACTTCTAGTACTATGTTGAACAACAGTGGTGAGAGTGGGCATCCTTGACGTGTCCCTGATCTTAAGGGAAAGGCTCTCATCTTTTCCCCATTGAGGATGATACTCGCTGTGGGTTTTTCATAGATGGATTTTATGAACTTGAGGAATGTTCCCTCTATCCCTATACTCTGGAGAGTTTTAATCAGGAAAGGATGTTGTATTTTGTCAAATGCTTTTTCTGCATCAATTGAGAGGACCATATGGTTCTTCTCTCTCCTCTTATTAATGTGTTCTATCACATTGATTGATTTGCGAATGTTGAACCACCCTTGCATCCTGGGGATAAATCCCACTTGGTCGTGGTGGATGATCCTTTTAATGTATTGTTGGATCCTATTAGCTAGGATTTTGTTGAGGATTTTGGAATCCATATTCATCAGAGATATCAGTCTGAAATTCTCCTTTTTAATGGGGTCCTTGCCCGATTTGGGGATTAAGGTAATGCTGGCCTCATAGAATGTGTCTGGAAGCTTCCCTTCTGTTTCTAGTTTCTGAAACAGCTTCAGGAGAATAGGTATTATTTCTTCTTTGAATGTTTGGTAGAATTCCCCAGGGAATCCATCAGGCCCTGGACTCCTGTTTTTGGGGAGGTTATTGATCACTGCTTCAAATCTCTACTGGTTATTGGCCTATTCAGGTGGTCAATTTCTTCCTGTTTCAGTCTTGGGAGTTTATAGGCTTCCAGGAAGGTATCCATTTCACCCAGGTAGCTCAGTTTATTGGCATATGATTGTTGATAATAATTTCTAATAATTGTTTCTATTTCCTTGGTGTTAGTCGTGATCTCTCCCCTTTCATTAATAATTTTATTAATTTGGTCCTTTGCCTTTTCTTTTGGATAAGTCTGGCCAGTGGTTTATCGATCTTATTAATTCTTTCAAAGAACCAGCTTCTAGTTTTGTTGATCTGATCTACTGTGTTTCTGGTTTCTAATTCATTGATCTCTGCTCTAATCTTAATTATTTCTCTTCTAATGCATGGCTTAGGCCGCATTTGTTGCTTATTCTCTAGTTCTTTAAGGTGTAGAGTTAGTTGGTGAATTCGGGATTTTTCTATTTTTTTGTGTGAGGCTTGGATGGCTATGTATTTCCCCCTTAGAACCGCCTTTGCAGTATCCCATAGGTTTTGAACCGATGTGTTTTCATTCTCATTGGTTTCCATGAATTGTTTAAGTTCTTCTTTGATTTCCTGGTTGACCCAAAGATTCTTGAGCAGAGTGGTCTTTAGCTTCCAAGTGTTTGAATTTCTGCCAAATTTTTTCTTGTGATTGAGTTCCAGTTTTAAAGCATTGTGGTCTGAGAATATGCAAGGAATAATCGCAGTCTTTTGGTACCGTTTTAGACTGATTTGTGACCCAGTGTGTTATCTCTTCTAGAGAATGTTCCATGTGCATTGGAGAAGAATGTGTATCCTGTTATTTAGGATGGAATGCCTTGTATATTTATCTGTGAAGTCCATCTGATCCAGTGTGTCATTCAAAGCCCTTGTTTCCTTGTTGATCTTCTGCTTAGATGATCTCTCCATTGCTGTGAGTGGGGTGTTGAAGTCCCCTACTATAATTGTATTATTATCAATGTGTTTCTTTAATTTGGTTATTAATTGGTTTATTAATTAATTGGTGTATTAATTAATTGGCTACTCCCAAGTTAGGAGCATAAATATCTACAATTGTTGGATCTTCTTGTTGGATAGACCCTTTAAGTATGATATAGTGTCCTTCCTTATCTTTTTTACAGTTTTTGCTTTAAAATCTAATTTGTCTGATATAAGGATTGCTTTCCATGTAACTTAACATATTAAATAAGCCTAATTATTCAAAAAGACTTCATTTAGGATTTGAATTTCCAGGAATTTGGTTTTTAAGAAAGCCTCAGAATGTTTTTAAAGCATGTGGCTACATAAGATCATTGATTATTCTAAAACCTAATATTTAATTATCTGTTTAACCAAGGTTTCCATAAGAGATTTTACAGAAAGTTGTATAGTTGTTAGCAAAACTTTGCTACTTTCATATTGAGAAGATTTAGTTTTCTTAAGTAATCAAAGACCTGAAAAAAAATACAGAAAACTTGTTTATAATTTCTCATCAAGAGCAGATCAATAATCCAAGAAAGTCCCTTTTTTTTTTTTTACAGAAAGAAAGCCAAATTTTTAATTTTATATCCGTGTAATTTTAAGGCTCAATTATTCCAATCTTATTCCTGAGTACACATAAAATCTTTTTCCAAAGATTTCCCTTCACAGACCTTCTATAACTTTCTTTTGCATTTAAATTTTGTGCTAATTCTTCCCTCTCTACCTAACGAGTCTCATTTCGGGACAGCTTATTTCCTTTTCTGTCATCAAAAATGTATTCTCATTCCTTATAGTTTTCTTACATATCTCCTACTTTCCTACATACAGAGTTGCTTTCTTTATCATTTTCCAGACGTCTCAATCATACTTATCAGAATTTTAATTCTTGGAAACCTTAGTCGCCTCTGAAAACTAACATGTAAGAAACTGTGAATTTTTACACCAGAATTCTTTAGATTGGCAAATCTGTGAATATATTTCAAAATTTCTAGAAACGTCTTTTGTTTATAGTACAGTCTTTCGGTAAGGCACAAAGCATGTTCACCAAGAGACCCAAGTATCTTTAGTTTCTCTGCAACAAGAAGCCAAAAGCAGACAAAGATATGTTCAGTAATTGATGCTTAAGTATTTTATCCTATTTGGAAAAGACTTAGATACCCACTGAATTTAACCTAATTTATCATTTAACATTGCAAAACTTCAAAGTTTTAGGTTACCAGTAATTTTTGAAAGCCATTGAAAGGTTTATCTATAAATGTTTTTATTTATTTAACTTACTTGTTCCTAACAAATTTTCATGAAAACTTCATGAGACAGACAAAATCAACCATTAACTCCCCTCTGCTGACAGGTCGCAACAGAGATAACATGAATTTAACTAATAAATTCAGGTAGAACAAAAGTTGGTTATCTGTATTATATTTGAAGTTGATAACACTAAAGAGAAGTTGATTTTAATCAAATCAGCAACCTTAAATTAGCTTTAATATCGAATATGTTGTACCTGTATCCACTAAAAAAATCAACCTGTTCCCCACTGGTCCATTTTATTTGGGGCTCCCGTGGGGAGGTTAAAGAGGGTGGTTGAAGTCCAGGGGAGCCCTTGGGCTCCTTCATGTTGACTTGGGAGGTGCTTCAGTTTGACCTCATAAGGAGGGGGCCCAAAA